TATTTTATATAAATTCAATGAAAAGTTAGTTTTGAATGATATACTGTATATATATTATTATATATGTACAGTATATATACTTTATATAAAGCTAGAAAAAGTATGACAATCAAAATAATTACACGAAATATAGACAAATAATGACATTCAAGTCAATTAACAAAAGGAAAAGTTAGTACAAAACGGAAATTGAAAGAAGGCTTTACATTACAGACATATCATAAAGTACTGTATAATACAGTATAATATGTGTTAAGTCGTTAACACATACATACAGTTAATATATGTATTAACATAACATACTGTATGTTACGACAAGTTATCTACAAAATTACAAAATATTATAGAATTGATGCTTACATTTATTTACAGTCAAAACACATGTTTTAACTAAGTTATGGTTATTTGTCTTAAATATGATTCAATGATAATACTATTTTAAGGTCAAAATCAAATTATTTAAATCAAACATATACAGTATATATATATATATATATAATTAAAAATATACTGTAAATTGTAGATTGATAATTATATTCATTAAATAAATCCAATATTAAAGTGCATTTTTATTACTAAAGGTTTCATTAGTAAAACTAATTTATTTTATTATTATTTTTAAAATTTAAATTAAAAAATATATTACCTAAAATGGATTAAATTAAAATATAAATTGTTTTATTCGGCAAAACTCTGTTATAATGTTTTATTTTTAATCTATAATATTATACTCAACAAAAGTTTGCTAATGAACTTAAACAGCTAAACATTTTTTGACAATTTTGGAAAAATATTTAGACAATAATGTATTATAAGATATACAACAAAAATAAAGTTTATATCCGTTTTTGGTGTTTATGTGTTTAAGTCATATGAGAGAAAAGTTGTGGTCTTTTGCGTTCAATTTTAATTGAAGCGCTAATTCATGAACTCCTGGAGTACAACAATAACAGTCCTAATATATACTGAGGCCAACCATCATATTATCAATAACTTTAAGCAATTTGTTGTTAACATTACTATAGTATTTGTATGCCTTGTTATAACAATAACAGATACACTACTGATATTTTTCTGAATATAACTATTTGTTTATAAGAGAAGAGCTAATAAAATATTAGTTAACAGAGCAATGCTATGAATGTTATGAATATAACAGTATATTGAAAGGCAATGTAAGGCAACAACACCTCTAAAAATATGTTATTTCTTGTACTTAACGTATAAACATAAAAAGCCGCCTTTTATGGCAAATATAACACATTTTCTAACATTTTCTTTTCTTATTGAAAGCAGATGTTATGCATCCCTATCCTCACATCTCATTACATAACTCTCTCTCTCTCTCTCTCTCTCTCTCTCTCTCTCTCTCTCTCTCTCTCTCTCTCTCTCTCTCACTCACTCACTCACTCATCCTCATTCATACTTCTATTTTCATATTATTCACAATTTGTTTGAATCCATAAATTTTTGGTACCTCTCGTATTATGCCTTTCTTTATAGTTAATACAGTATGTGTTGATGTGTTGTAAAGGAAAATACATTTTAGACAAAATTTAAAGCTATTTATTATTAGAAAAAATAAGATTAAAGATTCAGAGGTATACATAACATTCAGAAATAAGATATATTATATCTATACTATATGTATATATTGAATATTATTTACTATAATTTTTCAAAATGTTTGCCGACTATATTAATGTTAACGATCTCAGTCTAACTCAATTTTTTACTCACTCACACATTCACTCACCCACTCACCCGCTTTCTTATTGTTTGATGAACTAATTGGATGATAATCTCTGCACACAAAACTTCTCTAAACATTATCTCACATTTGTGTCAAATAACTTACAAATTTTATCTCTAAACATATAAACTTAACAAAATGTGTGCCATAACTAACTTTGCATTAAACTAATGATAAATGTTTTATATAAATATTAGATCGCATTATATTCTGCTTTATATCTAAACTAAATAAGTAAAGTTGTAGTGAAAAACATTTTTTAATTAAAAATATTGTTTACTTGGTTTTTATTGTTAAAAAATTTATATTCAAGACGTAAATAAAAATCATTGTATTATGAATTTGTAGTATAATTGAAAATTTTCAACAAACAGTTATTTTATTGAAGAGATTTTAATTATAATTTACGTAGTATTGGATAATAACTTATAATCTTTTATTTAAATACAATTTTAATAATATAATAAGCTTTAAAAATATAATACAATTATTTATTAAAAATTTTTGCTTTTGATTTGTATCAAAAATTATGTCTACTATATATATATATTATGTATATAGAAATCATTTATATATTAATCTTTTAGTGTATTTTAAATATTCTAATTATAATCAAATAGTTAATCTATTTTTATAAATCATGATTATTAAATCAATTTATTTAATTCAAAATTATTGGTAGTTAAACAAAATAAAAATTTTACAACAAAAGTATTATACTATTAAAACTAATAAATAGAAACAAATTTTCTATAATTGCTTGTAATAACAATAGAAATTAATAAAATAGTATAATATTTATTTAAGTATTGCTGAATTGTTGTCAATAAACAAACCCAGTATATGATTATATGGTCTATCAATTACTGTATTTTATATGACATGAACTACAGTTATGTGACTTTCGCTTATATAAAATACAAGTTATTTTTATAGAAATATTAGTACCGATTTGTGTATAGTTTTGTTACACAATATAATAGGATAGTAGTGTTGGCTTTTAACTTGTATTATATTTTGAATGCCCTTTATTTCATTGCCTGCCATTCACTAACTCTTATCGCTATAAAAACACTTGTTTTATATTGTATTTTATAACACATATATAATAAACCACTTGAAAGACTTACCATAATCTTAAGTGTCTTTCTTTAACCATTTTTTTGCTAAAAAATTATTTTCAACAATACATATATGTCTTTTATTATAAACTAATAGATTATTTTTTTATTACAATAAAAATTTCTGTATTTATTACAATATGCTTCATAACTCATATTTATGTCATTTGTATATAAGTTTTAGATATATTATATTATTCAGTTAGCTATTAATCAATTTCACATTAAATACAATATTATTAGAAATAAATTTATACTAATGTTAAGTATTAAAAATACTGTATTATCATTCAAATACAAATCCATATAAAAACAAAACAATGAGAGAATAATTTTAATATTTAATGTCAGAAAATTGTGACAAATTTTTGTCTCAAATATTTAAAGAGTGTTTTGATTTGAAGTTGAAGAAAGACTGAGACAAATATTTAAATGAATTAAATATAATTTATTTAATTTCAATACCTGTACTACAAAAATAATATACAGTAGAGTTTGTACACTAAAGTACATACAATATTCAAATTTTTTCTTTTATTAAATGTGTGTTTGTTTTGTTTCTTTACAATTATCATAATAATGTTTGTCTCAATTTTTTAAGATTTAAAAAATCTTTGTTATATTTTATTGTATAGAATTTGTGATTTATTTACAAATTATATGCATTTTTAGATTTGTATTTTAAATAAAGATATTTACAAAATAGAAATTTATTATTAGATGTTATTTATTTTAATAAAAACATATTTTTATGTTTAATTTATATTTATTTTTGGAAATTGAATGACAAATTTTCTAAATTTTCAACTTTGATGCATTTGAATATACAGTATTCAAATTTATTTTATTTACAATGTTATATTTTTTATTTTACAAAATAGTAAATTTAAATATATTTTTATTTTAATATTGTAGTTTTGAGCTATAAGTATATAAATTAGATATACTAAATATTATAACATTTTAAAAATAATCATTGTAATCAAACATCTTTTTATGTTTTGGCAAAATGAGAAAACTTCAAATTTAATATAAACAAAAATATATTATATTATAATTTATATATTTTTATTATAATCATTTAAAATACAGGGTGTATATACCTATATAAATATATAAAATGATATATTTAATATTAAAAATACTTTTTTATTTTATAAGTTATTATAGAGGGATACAAATATTATTAAATCTTTTGTTTTATTATACTTTTAATATAACAATAAAGTTTTTATATCATTTTTATGACATTTATAGCATTTGCTTAGTTTTAATGTAAAACACAAGATCAACAAAATTATTGTTTTTGTTAAGTTATAGCTTAATAATCGTATAAAAGTTTAGATTATATAATATTTACTATTTTGTTGTTAGTGTCGTCTAATAATATAATAAACAATAAAAACATTAAATCTTTAGCTGAATGTTATTTTTATAATACTATTATTATACTAAACTACTTTTATAATCCACTTATTCTTAACACAATAAAAGTCTTAATTAACAATAAATATTTTAAATACACTTTAAAATCACATTTTGTGTCATTTTGACAATTTAATAGCCAGGAATTATATATCATATATAAAAATAACTTATTAGTGTTTATAATTGAAATAAGAGTTTAAAATTAAAAATAGAGGAGTGTTTGAAAAAATTGCTGATTTTATGTTTTTTAAATCGGAAGCCAAAAATAACATGTATTTTGTTTTGCACAACAAAACTAATTGTGTATATAATTTGTCTTTCAATCAATTGTTTTGAGTTTTTTTTCTTCTCTCGCTTTGATTTTGCTTTATTTTAATGTTTATTACTATTTTTTATATATTATAATATCATAAAGCATAAAAATATTAAAATCAAATACAACATATAACAAACAAATGCCAAACTTTAAAAATAACTTATTTTATCTCTATTAATATATTTAGAATTAAGATTTTAATACAATAACAGCACTTAAATTAATGACACAAATATTATATGAATAGATGATTGAATTAAGATTTGTTTTATTTATAATGTTTAAATACTAAACTGATTGCATTATTATCTATAATTAATTCAATTATATGCATTATATTTGAAAAATGTATAGTAATTTTAATTTAATTAAACATTTGCAGACATAACGACCACTGTATTGGGTGTGTCCGGTGGCAAAGTGGCGCTTCCATGCAATATAACGCCGCCGACAACTGATGACGCCGTGTCACTCATACTATGGTATAAGGATGAGTCAACCACACCGTTATATAGGTCGGCATTTTTGTCATAACAAATCAATTTCAATTATTATATGTAATTAATTCATTATTATTACAATATCTTATTATAGTTTGGACGCGAGGAAAGGCAATTTAGATCAGGCCAGACACGCATCCGAAGATAATCTAATATCGCGGTCTTATATGAATACAATTCAAAGACCCGCACATCTAATCCTAGAAATGCTGTCCATTGAAGACGCGGGTGAATACCGGTGTCGGGTTGACTTCAGGAAAGCACAGACCAGAAACTCTGTTATTTATTTAGAAATTATTGGTTTGTTTTTTTAAATAAATATATTAAATGTTAGATTAATATTAATGACAAAATGAAATTTATACGTCAATATTATATTATTATTAAGAGATATGTAATTAATAATTATATTAATAGATATTATAATCAATAATTAAGTTAAATTTAACATAAATGAATTGGTTGTGTTAGTGCCACCCGACAAACCAGTCATAATGGATGCAAACAGTGAACCGCAGCCATCATTGATCGGTCCGTACAATGAGGGCGACCGACTGGTGTTGGTCTGTGAAGTAGAGGGCGGCAAACCTACGCCATCCCTGACCTGGTGGAGGGAGTCGGTGCTGTTGGACGACAGTTTTGAAGTGATGACCAATGGAGGAACCGTTCGCAATGAACTGGAAATACAATCACTTCAACGACACGACCTGATGGCTGTCTTCACATGTCAGGCCTCTAACAATAACATATCGATGCCTACATATTCTGCAGTCAGCGTTGATTTAAATTGTAAGTTTCATTTTGCATACCCGTCCTTACATTTTATTATATTATAAAAGCCTACGATTTTAAAAACTATTTTTCCATTGATTTTTGTGACATAAAAACATTTTTAAATGTATTTAAATCACATTATTTAGAAAGCGTTTCTTTTGTCGAGAAATTGCTATGATTTTGCCCTATTTTGTTGAGACATTTCCCACATTTTAAGCTTTTTACAAATAAAATTCAATAAGTCTTCAAAACTAGAAATTGTAAGCTCAGGTACTTTTGCTATATTGAGACTTTAACAGTCCTCACATACTTTTGATGTTTATTATTCAAAATCAATCAAATATTGAAACACAACCTAACCTATTGATTGACTATTTTTGTGCTAATCTATGGACCCTTACATTTGTCATACACCCAGTAATACTGTATATTACTTTGTAACTAAAATTTTGTTTGAAATTATGAATTACATATGAAAAATCAACTATTGATCATATGGTCGATCAAATAATAAGTTATAAAATAAGACAAACCCAAAAATGCTTATTATATTTTGTTTATGAGTCAAAATTATAAATATTACTTTATTATTTATATTATTAACTTACTTATTAGTAGTATTAAAAAAATTCAATGAATTGCAAAAAACTAATATAACTATACATTATATAGTACTGTATTATAGCAATACCTGGGAATTATATGTGGGATTTGGAGGACAACTAGTCTGGTATTAAATATCTGTATATATAATGGTTTTATAGTACTGTATTTGTTGTATAATAATCAATAAAAACTTTAACACATAAAATAATTCTCACGCTTCACATAATAATGACAATGATTTTAGTGAATTTGAATCCAAAACTCACAATATTTGGTGATTACTAATAAAATTTTGCAGTTTTGCCATAAACTCTGATCTATTGTCAAATGTCAGACAACAATGACATTACTGAACTGCAATTGTCGTGTTTAGTCAAGACTTGGGTTACATTCAAATGTTATTAAATATTAAATAAATTATTAAATTATTGAATTATTGAATAAACTAAAAAAAAGTACAATTTATTTTATTAAAACATTTTTTATGTCATTTAAGGTTTTGTTACACACAAATGTTGCAAATATTGAATTTATATTTATATGATGATAGTTTAGATTATTTTTTGATAATAAAAATTATGTTATATAAATATTTCAAAATTATACATAATTGTATATAAATATATAATATATATACTATATATACAATATATATTATAATTCTGAAAAATTCTAACAAATACATTATATTGTAATTCTGAGTATATTAAATAATTTATATGATTTATATTTTAGTAAATATATTTATTTTGAAAATAGCAAAATCACTTATCAAATATAACATTAGATGTTTGTAAAATACAGTATAATACTGTATATATAAAAATTTGTGCACTTTCATATTATCTGTTATAATAATAATATAAGAATAATAATACTGTAAACTATATTTTTTTATTATTATTATATCACTACTTTTATTTCCACTTTTAAGATATTGATCGCTGAAATGAGTTTTTTTTGCAAACATAATATTGTAGATATACTACTACTTTATATTTTGTACTTTTCATATCAGTAAAAATGTATAAAATATAAATATATTTACAAATGTGTTAGTGTTTATAATATATGCACACAAATATCATACAATAAATAAAAGTATACTTTTTTGTTATATAATATACCACACAAAACACCATATCATTGGCAATAGTATGATATATAATGTAGTTATAGTCAATGTACTGTAGTTATGCTGTTGTATAGTAGGAACAACCTAATGGACATTTATGATGATTACTGCATTATTGGTGATATGTGTATAAAATGTAACATTTATGAGGCCTTTAGTATCTTTACTCTCTTAGAAATTAGTTTTTTCACCGCTTTTTATCAATTATTTAAGCAATTTTGATAACATTACTTTCTGGACGCCATTGCCTAACCTTATGGAAAACGAAAGGGTCTAACAATCAAATATCTACCCGTGTTTGCGGTTAACAATCAAATTACAACTTATAAATAAATAAATAATAATTTTATAATAATATAACAATAAAGTTATGTCCACTTTGTTATAAGTTATAATGTATATAATTATTATATATTTTGTAATTAGTAAATAATTGATATTATTACATTTCAGTGACATTATATTTAATGATAACGTTATTTCAAAATTACTAAATTTAGCTAATTTATATTTTATTTAATTAAACTTATTCCATCATAATATGGATAACAAAATTAGTTTAATATTAATTTTAATTAAAGTATTTTTTGTTTGTTTTAGATTATTAATACCTATTAATAGACAATATTTATATAAATAATAATAAATAAAATTCTAATATATCTATACAGCATTGCATTTTATATTTTATATTACAATATATTTTTTAGTTGAGTTTTAATGCGTTTATAAGAAAAATAGTTTTTAAATCTCCAAAATATTATATTTTTCATATCAAATATTATGTGAAACACAAGCCGTATATTAACAGTTTGTTTCATTTTAAACATTGAATTATAAGCTTCTTTATTAAGTCTCTAAGCCCTGGGCTCACGATAGCATCGAAAGAGAGTTTATTACTATAATAACCAAATACACACTTATGACAAACATTGACATTTGAATAATTATACTTATTTTTAACAATTGTTGTTAAATTTTTATAATTGTAAAATAACTTTAAAATTAAAGAATTTTTTTTAATTTTCTAGACTTTAATTTGATTTTTTAAATAGTCCATGAAAAATGTATGTTTTGGTCATTCTATACTATTTTTCAACGTTTTCAATCATATTATAAATACTATATTATATATAGCCTGTATATAAGTACATATAAATTTATATTAAAACATTGAAAGCCCAAAAAATGAACTCAAGTTTTAACTCAATATTTCTTACTTTAAACGACTTAACGCTTTAAAATATACCGATTTATATGATATTATTCCGTAAAAAGACATTGGATTACAATCACCAAAACCTTTCAATTTATCCATACTTTTGGCGCTATTAGTGTATAATCAAACCAATGATTTCAACTTTATTTGTGAGTTTTGTTTTTGTTTAGTTTTATGCCATTATTTTAACGGATTAGTATTTCATGGATTTTTGGTGTAAAGATATCACCACAAGAGTCACGCCATTAAACTCTAAATACAACAATCTATGAGATATTGTAGACCAAGAAATTTCAGTCAAACAAATAGTATAATATAATATTTTTATCCATTTTAATGCCATTTCTATGAAAATAAATACTTTTTCATAAATATCTATAACAAGTAGTGTTGGCAGAGACAACATTTTTGTATAGTACAATGTATAATACATGACTAATATTGCCATACAAAATAAAAGTTAGCCTAGTATCAAAACCATTGATATAAGCAAGAATAAACATGTTTATAATAAATATATGATATTAAGTTTTTATTTCATTTCTATCTTTTTTCTTAGAAAACAACTATTAATATAAAAATAATTATAATATATTGTCATTAAATAATTTTAATAAATTTTTCAACAAATTAGTTTTTAAAATGTATAATATGTACATTATATTAAACTGTATTATACTGTGTTATACTGTGTTATACTAAGCCAAAATTCAAAACCTTGTACTTTTCCAACCCTAGTAACAAGTTTGAAAACCTGTGCCAAACACAGACACACAAACACATAGTATATGCGGTTGTATTCACAAATAAAATGGTCTTAAAAGTCAACTAACGTATTGAATGTTAAACATAAAACTGTATCTAAGTTTTCATTTGTGAATACAACCGATAAACTGATATTTTCTATGCATTTCTATTTCCATTTACAATATAGCGATAGGTTTGATGTGTATTGGCTTTTGTGTTGACCTTTGCATTCAATTTACTGAAAGCAATGTAAAGAAAAAGAGTTTAAGACTTATTTCTAATACATTCTCTCTTTTTCTCTCTGTTTTCATTCACTTACTCACTATATATATATATATATATATCCTGTCATTATATCACTATATATATATAAATTATATATAAACTTTATATATATATATATATATCACACCCACTCACTCACTTATTTACTTTTCACTATCCCTATTGATGTGATCCATGTCTTATCGATATGTTTTTTGACACAATATATGACATCTCATGAGATATGGTGTTAACACTTGACTACAACGACAAAGACTTATTTCTTACATTAAAAAATAAACAAAAAATATATATTTAGTATAACGAGTAACTTTAGATTTTAAATTTTTTGTTTATTTTTTGTTATTATTCTATAGAAATTCATAAATAAATACATAAATATTATTATTTAAATATTTTTGAGTAAAGCAATTTATATTTTTACATTTTTCCAAAGTATAAAATCATTTTTATGGCATTAGATATATATTTATACAATGTATATATTAAATGATATATAAATTATATGTACACCAGTTTGAGTGGTTGTTATATAACATATACCCTACGCATTGAATATAACAGAAAAGATTGAGTTTTATATTACATTTTTGTTGCATTTGAAAAATCATATAACGAAAAAAATAGTGAATATTTTGCGATCAAAAGTTTAATCGAAAGAAATTTTTAAAAAGAAAAACAACTGAACTGAAAATAATTTATATTATTCTCTCTTTTTTGATGTTTTTCTCTCTTTTTCTTTTTACAATAAAAGATAACATTTGTGAATATGTTTGCTTTCCGAGACTTTTATAATCAGATTTTTTTATATAAATTTAAGCAAAAATAAAAATAAAGCAAATTTATTATTGAATCATTGTTTAATATTTTAGATTTAGAAATTTTTTATTATTCATATAATTTTTTACAAAAAAAATATTTGACATTAAATAGGTTTATTATGATTATTATAGTGTATTAATAAATGATACAGTGTTTTCATGGATTAAATTTATATTTTAATTACAAATTTGATGCATTAAT